GACAATTCATACAGAAACAAAACAACCCCGCCTGAATCTTAATTTCAGGGAAAACTCAACACTCGATTTCCTTTCGAAGAAGAACTCGACCATCTTTAAGAGGAACATTCTTTTCATCAGTGCCAAGAGTTGCGTTCTTCAGTTGTCCACTAGCCTGCAAAAGCTCGGAAGACAAAATCTCACAGCTCACCATTTCTGTGTTCATGCATCAGCTCACCTGCTCCTGTTCATTATTCTGAAGTCAGTGTAGCGATAAATCATATTCAGCATAAGGACCAGGATCCTTATTTTCAATACTAATATGAAGTAATTCATTCTATATTGTTTAGGGACTTGGAGCACTCGTCATTAATAGCATTCCCAACAGGTGGCTGTAGACTTTTAGTGAGCTCTTCCAACTTTTTCCGATATCGAAGATGAAATAGCTTGCCAGAAAGGTCATTTGATGTGTATACCATCTTTCAAATCAAGAACACTACCTGCCACTGGCTCTGTAACAGCTACAATAGTTGAACTTCCTGTTGACGCTGTTTATATTGTCCCGACAAACTTCTCCTTTAGACTGATCTACAACGTGAAGAACAATCCATGAGAGACAATACTCTTTGGTCTCCTTTGTACTCATGAAATTCTTACCATTCAGATAGAGATCTGGATAGAAAAGAGAGTTTCTCAACTTCTTCTGTTGTCATAGTAACGACATTGATATTTTTCACCAGTTTGATTTTTGTCTGTTATTTAAGTCTCTATAACTTTCGTATTTTTCATGAAGTGTTGCATAATATCACATTTTCCTTCACCTCTTTGCTAATCCTGACTGCAACTCAATTATTAAATTATTTACCTTATCATGTGACTAATACTAACACCCTAATTCCAGTCTCATTGAAAATCCTATGTAAGGCCTTTCACCTTCCTTCTTTATGCAACAGTACTACAGAGGCTTTGAATTCTATATTATATTTTTTGTTGTTTTTGTCATTCCCATTATTAACTGATTAAAAGTGCCCATTAAAATTTTTCAAAAGAATGGATACAGAACAAAGAATACTCTTTTCGATAACGTCTTCTTCATCAGGCTCTACAGTGATATACACACATTATAGTGAATGAATGAATGAATTCGTGTTATGAACAACATTAATGCTGCTGTTTCAATAGCATTGAATCAATGATACTGATAGATAACAGCTGAATCGCATCAACATAGAATAAGCCGAATGTCAGAAGAATTCGGAAGGATAATATTACAAATTCATGAGTGTATAGCTTCTACTGAAGGCCAAGGCACTAGTAGGGGCTGGACTTGCTTCTTTTGAACACAGAGCACTGGTTGTTTGAGGCGAATTGCAATAGCCTCCACTGTTTGCAGCATTCGGTGCTTTGATGATTTCGGTAATTCATTAGGCACCCGGTAGATTATCGAGAAGGATTCTTCAACGCTGGTTGGCTTTGTGGCCGGCTTGCACCAGATGGTCCAATATTGAACTGTTAATGGTTTTAACTACACCTCTACTTAGCCATAGTGGGAGATGTTCTCAAGTGAGCACGAAAAATCAAGTTCCTAGAACAACAGCCAATATAACTCCCCCCTGCACAAGCGCAGTTGAATTGGTAGATACAATTAGAAGAAGTGGCTAGTCTAGGTACTTCATCTTTCCATCGAGGTAGCACAATCGGTCGTGTAGAGAATAATACGTGTAGTTCGCCAGCATTGATCTTAGTTTTTCTATAGTTCTTCACATATATTTCTGAATAAATTTTGATGAGTAGTTAGTTTGCCAACTAGTAATATTTCTTTATTAGTTTGATTTCATGATTTCATTATGCTTCAAATCTTTATCCAGTTACCAACACTTCATCATTTTATGATACTTGAAATAAACTTATCGACTAAGTTAAACTTTAAGCACTACTAACTACTAATGGAATACGACCGTACCACTGACCCTGAAGTCCCTAATAAGTTTCATCCCCGTGACTTGAAGTCTCTATTCCGCTTGATTCAAGTCAATATGTCAGGGAAAGTAAGCTGAGTATTGTAGTATTTTGCAGGAAGATTTTTAGCCAGGTTCCTTTTATCCTTAACCCAAATTTTGTATACTTGTGGTTACTGGGTTTGAAAATAGTTCATGACAGGTGTAGCTGCTGAAAGAGGGAGAATAGTCTCCTATCCCCCAATTCAGTGGTACTAGCACTGAAGATATATCGCGTCATGGAAAATAAAGAGAATTGCTTTATTATTCCGAGGAGAAGGTGCCATCGCATAATTAGATGGATGAGAAAGTTATAACTGTCTGTCGTTCCTTGAAACATTCTCATGATTCTGTGAATCCCATTGCAGGGACATGCATCAGTCTTATGGAAGGCTTTTTGGGAAGGTTAAAAAACAAGGATAGGGTCATTACTGGATCTCAAAAGGATGTCATTCATTGTTATTTAGATGAATATATGTATATAATGTGGTGCAACTTTTCAATTTATACTCCTATGCTAAACAGGGAGATGTTTCTATCACTTGTCAGGGAAAGGTATTCTATGCAACATTTTTATGCAGCTTTTATGCATTTTTTTCATAAACAAAAATGCCTCCTTCATGTGATTGGCGCGTTCAAGGTCATTCGCTGATTGGTATTTGGTGGTGCTTAAATTCCATTATGGGTAAATTTTTCTTTCGACAAAGTCTCATAGTGTTATACAGTAATGTTTACTGATGACCATGCTTCGAGCACAATTTATTGGTCATAATCATATCTAGGTACTCCTCAGACGACTTCCTAATTTCATTTATATAGTTCCATTATTTTTCACTTAATTTGATTGGCAGTGATATTTTCCATATTTCAGGTATGAGTGATGAATCATTCCTATTGAATGTGTTGTGTTTGGTGTAGACTCAATAAACAAGGATTCAGTAATCAACCTCTCTCTCCACCTATCTAGATTACTTTTTGGAATTTTAACCGTCTCCCACCCTATTGTGTGGTTGTGTGTTAATGCATGCAGTGCAATGTGGTGCTGAGCTATTTTCTAAATTACTTATCTTCTCAGGGTCAACCATTCTTACCTTAGCTAAATTCTTATGTTCTGACAGGTCATCTCACTACTTCTGATCTACTAGTTTGACCTATGTAATTGACCTCACATTCATTGCAGGGTATTTTGTAAATCATATTATTTCGTCTAATTGGGTCAAGTAGGTCTTTTAACCTACAGAGCTTGTCCCTGAGTGAGTTTGCGGGTTTCAAAGACGCCCTAATTCCTGCTTTATTAGGAATCCTACGTAGGGCCTCAGATGTCCCCTCTTTATATGGTATAACTGTAGATGACTTGTATTCTCTCTCATTTATGTTATTATTACCAGTTTCACAATTATTTTTATTTTTCGTTTGGCCCTTTTCGATCTTCCTAATGAATTTTATAGGATAGTTATTTAACACCAAAGCCTCTTCTATCTGTTTTAGTTCATCATTTAGGTCTTTTCTTGTGCTACTCAGTGCTACTGCTCGGTTTGTTTAACAGTTAACTAAGCCTCCCTTAACAGTCAACGGATGAGATGAATTAAAGTCTAAATATCTATTAGAATGAGTTGGTTTTCTGTACACACTAGTGTGTACTTTACCTTGCTGTATTCGTTTTATTTTACAATCTAACATAGCTAATTCTCCTTGTTCATTTTCCGATTCAAATGTAAATTTTATTCCCTCCACTAGTGAGTTTATATGTGTCAAGAAGCTAGAGATGTGTTCTGTTTTTAACACCGTTAAAGTGTCATCCACATATCTCCACCACATTTTTGGAGTAGGATTAAACGTATTAAGAGCACTACTTTCCCAGCTGTCCATAAATATGTCTGCTACAATAAGGGATATTGGTGATCTGCTGCAATGCTACACCTTCAGTTTTTCTATACATTTTGCCTTGGAATTTAAAGATAGTAGATGTGAGGCATAACTAAATCCCTAAAATAATTTGTTCAGTGGGCAGCTTCGTCCTATGATTAAGTTCAGGATCCGCAGTTAGTTCTTTTTTAACTGCTTCTAAGGCTATAATGACTGGTATATTAGTATAAAGACTAGTCATATCAAAACTAACCATTTTTTCATCATTCTCTAGTTGAATGTCGTTTAGTTTGTTTTTCATCTCATATGAATTAGTTAGTTGGTCTAGTGTTTGAACGATTTCTAATGGGGCATAATATTAGAGCTAAGTGTTTGGATAATTCATAAGTGGGAGTATTTCTAAAATCTACTATTGATCGTATGGGGTAACCTGGCTTATGTATTTTAATAGTACCATACATTCTACTAGCATTATTAGTTTTAGGCATTGAATTAGACCATTTTGATATGATATGATTATGAGCGGCGATAAATTGTCCTCGAAACTTCATCAGTAAACATTACTGTATAACACTGTGAGGCTTTATCAAAACAAAAATTTACCTATGATGGAAAATAGTCTCCTATCCCACAGTTCAGTGGTACCAGCCATGCAGACATATAGCGTCATGGAAAATAAAGAGAATTACTTTGTTATTAAGAGGAGAAGGTGTTATCGTATACTTCCTGTCATTCCTTGAATATATTCACCATATAAGTGAACCATCCTAATGATTTTCTGGGTCCTATTACAGGGACATATATCAGTCTTATAGAAGGCTTTTGGGGAAGATTAAAAACAGGATTAGGTCCATTAATAGATCTCAAAAGGATGTCATTTAGATGAATATATATGCATAGAATGTGGTGTAACTTTTCCATTGATACTCTTATGCTAAACTGGGAGATGTTATTACCACTTGTCAGAGAAAGGTATCTTATGTAACATCTTTGTGCATTTTTTCATGTTTTCTATAAAACAAAAATGCCTCCTTCATGTGATTGGTGCGTTCAAGGTCATTCGCTGATTGGTCGGTAGCGGTGCTAAAAGTTTACCCTTGCCAACCACCTAGTCTAGCTACTTATAAGTAGTAAAAGTACCCAAAGAAAAAGAAATATGATACAAATTATAGCATAGTATTATTTTTTAATTGAACAATTGATAGACAGTTATGATTATTGTACATGAATGAAGAAGGAGAAGAAGAAAGGAAGAAAAAATAAGACTCCAAGAGAGAAAGAAAATTTTCTGTTATTATTTTTATTTTTGTACACTGACCGAACACAGAGATGCAAAGTTGGCACAAACACACACACACACACACGCACACGAACAAACAGAATGAAAGACAAAATGAGGGAAAAGGGTAAGCACAAGCCGATAAAAGGTAATAACTTCACGATGAACACATTATTATTATTATTATTATTATTAATAAGGATGATGACAGAAGTAATTAGGTAGATTGATGTCAAAATTGAGAATATGTGTTGACAGGCAAACATAATGACAATGATCACAAGAGCCGGTAGATAAGCGCGTATAAGTAGATGAGTAGTTACGTAATCCATCGATTACAGAAGTACCAAAATAATCAAAGGATCAAAAGAGACATAGACATACAGTCTCGTATACACGAATGATGCATACCACTGGAGATTGATTTCTATCCCCATTAATGAAACGATAACTATACTTATGTGTAAAAAATAATCAGAATTAACAAACATTGAACAACCATTTCATTGAATCTTTCACGTCTAATTAATTGCTTATTTGTTTTAAACACACATCAACAATTACTCGCGGTTAATTTAATTTGAATTATTATAAATCAATAATGCTTTATGATTTGTTTCTGCTCCCATCATATCATTATCTGAAATTGGACGTAGTGTTCTCGGTGCTGTACGCCTAGACAGAATAAGTGTTTCTGTCGCATAATCTGATTGTGAATATCTTGATTGTTTAAAACGACACTTGAATATCATATTCAAGGCTTGTTTTCTAAATCCGGTACATGTTAGAAAATAAATGAAAAAATTACATGCATAATGTGATGCACATAAGGCATCAACAATTTTTTTAGCCGACAATTGTTGAAATATACTATTCCATTCAGGGGAATTCAGTACACCTTCATCATTCAAGCATTCATCTGCATGTGGTAATTGAAATTGGACAAGATAGACAATTCCTGCGGGTACAGTACATGCAATTAAGTAGAAGGATAATATAATTAACATTAATGTGGCTGAAACGAATTGAGATGATTCTTTAGAGAGTGTATCGCCTAACGGGGGATTAGTGTTGGCGTTGTTGTTGTTGTTATTGTTAATATTATTGAAATTTGATGTTCTTGATGGACTAAAATTTGGTGTACCTGTAGAATCATCATTACGACTTGCAGAATTTCTTGTACTATTATTACTATTATCATTAAGATACAATTGGTCAGTAGTACTCTGGGTAGTTTTACATGGTTTAAACAGACTTTTCAAACGGAATCTTTTGTGGATTAAGTTTTTATAATCATTGTCATTCATCATAGTATTATTATTATTATTAGTGTTACGAGCAGTGTTCATAGCTGTTGTTGTTGTAGTAGTGATATTACTATTACTACTACAAGAATGATGTTTAGTAATCTTCAGCAAATTACTTGATTTCAACAACCTTCTCATTTCGCATAGAACCAGGATATTAAAGACGAGTGTAGCCAGTGGAATAACCAACGAAAAGACTATTTCTTGTACAGATATTAACGTTTGAATCCGTCTGTCTAGTGCAATATCCATACGCATTTGACATTCACCATTCTCATAGTTCCACAACACTATCTGGAATAACATTGGTCCGATAACAAATAAACTCAGGATAACAACAGCGATTAATGCTCGTTTAGTTGTACACAATTTAAGTCGTTTAAATGGAAAGCATACAGCCAAATAGCGTTCCAGGGTGAAACCGAATACAAGAACAATAGAATAGAATTGGGTAAATATAAACAAACACTGGTAAATTTGACAGATGCCGTTGATTGTAGATATACCACGGATACACCAACTAGATTCTAAATCATAATTGATCAGCAGAAGAATTAATATAAAATCGGTTAAAGCTAGAGCAGCCAGATAAATCGCTGAACTATTTTTCCGCCTTTGTTCTTTTGATGTCCAGATAAGAAAAGAGACAAAATTACCGAATAAACCACTGATTAACCAAATGAGTATAAATGTTCTTGAAATATATAAAATAGTTGGCATAAATTTTTTATACAGTTCGCATTTAGGATAACGATCATCTACTGAGATCGGATCGATAAAGGATTCATTTAATAGATAACGGGCTGTACAATTCATACGTAGAGTATCATTTAATTCATTCATGTTTGTTGGCTATTATTATTATTATTGATATCAAAAAAATGTGTATTTGAAGAATATCTTGTCAATGTTCTGTTGGTTTGTTTGCTATTTGACTAGAGGATAGCCAGTTGATGAAGACTAGTGCGGGCGAAACACCTGTTTGAAAGATAAATGAAAAGAGAAAAGAAAACACACGTGAAGATAGATGACATGACATCACGAAACAGTATAAGTTAGGAAGTATTGGATAGATGTTTCATCCTACTTTGAGACTTTCTAGTCATTGGTGGTGTTTCTATTGCTGAAGAGTCCAAAACTAGGATGAAACCACTGTTCAGTACTCCATGTTGGTGTTTTAATGATCCCCTTAGAAATGGTTTTCCGAATGGTTTATCGAATATCAGCATAACAAATAAAATAATAAGATAAAAAAAAATTAAGGCCCAACAAACCGAAAAATCATCCGTTTGACTATGAATTAACAAATCTGAAAGCCTAATATTGTTATTATTATTATTAATTAGTATTATTCCCTTTAGGTTGCAGGTGGAACATAAGAGTTCAAAAGCACATCTCCATTTTCCCACGTCTTCTTTAATCCTCCTCAGCTGGATCCGCGACTGTTCATAGTCTCTTAGCTCTTCCTCACACGATGTCCTCCATGTGTCATCCTATGACAATCACGTTATTTCCCCCATTAGGATTCCATTCGTGCAGTAGCCTGACGTGCGATGCTATTCTTGATTGATTGTTGTTAATTTGTTCTTGTCAGCCATTTGATTTTCACCATGGAGCAGAGGTAGGTGTCAGTAAAAGCCTACTGTAACCAGTTAGATGTGTTTAACGCGATGCCTACTGCATGTTTTATCCCTCATATGGAAGAACCGGTTGACTTGACGTTGGCGTTGAAAATTCGAATCTTGTTCTTGATATGCTGTGTGTGTGGGAGATTTCCAAACTGATTTAAGAGTAACGAATGTCTGTCTCATCTTTCCGATCCTGCTTGCGTTTGACATCCTCATTGAAGCTGACACCAGCAGTTGTATTAATGCTGCTAAGATACCTGAAAGAAGTAACAATTTCTAAATAGTTCCCACCGATGGTAATCAGCGCTTGTCACAGCTGGTTGGTTTGTTATCTTTATCACGTCCATCTTGTCTGTGTTCACTTGAGGTCCTCCTGCATTCAATACACAACTTCTTCTGGCAGTTTGTCGGTTTTCGCCTGTAAGTCTTCCAGTTTCTTTGATATTAGACATAAATCGCGATCGAGAAATCGAGATCTTCTTATTAGTCTTCTTGCTACCCACTTACAAAGTGTCACATAGTTTAGTCCACCACAACTGGGAATAATCATAATGCAGATTGAACTCATTCAATTCAACATTCAACCTATATACAATAAGTCCCAGATATTAGTCCCAAGACTATTTATTGGTAACCTGACTCAAATTCGTTCTAAATAGCACAGATGTATTCACTCTTTGCAGCCTCCTAGATCTACTAAATCTTCGTTATTCTCCATGTTCTTTGACATACCTCCGTTCATAATAACTTTCTTTATCCTTCCTTTCTCAACCTTCATATAGGCTTTTATGAAGTGTGGCGAATTCGGGGATCTGGTGAAATGAAAGAGTTTCTCACCACTTCTGCATCCTTCTTCTCTATTGGTCATCAGATCGTTAGTATAGAATGAAATCAGTTGTTGTTTATAGACTGCAACCTACTGGAAATGCTTTCGGTACCGACTTCCCATTAGTGCTGAAAATTCTGGATCTTGTCACAAGTGCTAGGTGCTACTACTAAAGACGTTGGGAAATCATTTTACCAGGAAAAGAGGACTGCAGTGAATAGGATGGAGTGAACATCTGCTGTCGAAGTCCTACGTTCCACTGAAAACCCAAGGGTACAATAGTAATAATAATATTAACAAGCACCTACTTAAACTAAATCCAACTGAATCAATAAAAAAGCGGCAATTCACATTTAAAATTGTCGCCATATTTTTACTTATAGAGAAAGTAATCTAAACTGACGCAGATATATATATGAAAGACAGTTTAAGATTGACCTGACTTTAGTTACTCTGTTTTCTTGATTAGAAGATTTCATAAGAATTAAGAAATTATGAAAAATTAGCCAATAAATCCCTGACCTAAAACCAAAACTTCAAATTAAACGGATTAGATATTTTTGTAGACTTAAAAGAAGTCGAAAAGCCACTTTAATTTAACACATACTTATTAAGTAAAATAGCTGTGTTATTTGTTTCCTAAATATTCTATGAAGGCTTTTTCATGCATTATGGCACATACTACTTATCTATATCAGTAGTTTGACAACAATCAAATAAAGTAGTCATACAAACTAGTGATGTGGAAATGATTTAAACACCGAATGGGTGTTTAATTCGTATGGGGCTGACCTCATCGGTGGTACATCAAACCCGGTTAGCCACAGCTCACATTACCTAAATTCTAACTGGCTAATTAGGCAAACTACTTAAATCAGTCAATTAGTAGTATATTACAAACATGAAGTGATCTTTCGTTTTTTCATTTCCACTTATATTTGCAAACAGGTTATATGTTGTTATCTAAAACATGTAGATCAATAGTAAATTCGTTATTGGTTTGCAAATTATGCATTTTGAGGTGAAAACTCGTGACACTTCGTCTCCGTCCTCCTTTATGGTTGTGAGACCTGGCCACTGAGAGTGAAAGACATGAAAAGACTAGCTGTCTTTGATCATAGGTGCCTGCGCTCTATTTCCCGTGTAAAGTGGCATAATAAGGTGAGTAACATGGAGGTTAGGCGTCGAGTGCTAGGTAAACAGGGGATATCAATCGACGAAGTTGTGAAGTTTCAAAGACTGAGATGGTTAGGACATGTGTTACGTATGCCAAGCCATCGCCTCCTTCGACAATGAGCAATGTTAGCGGATATAAGGTCAGGCTGGAAAAAAGCTAGCGGTGGTCAAACAAAAACTTGGCACCAGTCAATGAAATCCACAACAGTTGGTCTAAGCCACGTAGGAAGGTGTAGACTTCCAGACTGGTGTCCTCGGGACGGTAACAATCTATGGTTGGAAACAATTGGTGACATGGCTCAAAATCATTCTCAGTGGCGCAGATGCATCCACTCCTTGTGACTTTTGATCTCCAATGGAACTGTTTTGTTTTTCTTTATTACTCCTTTGTCTCACCCCTCTGCTCACTGTTTCTATTATGCTTTTCTTGTATTTTCTTCTCTTGCTTCGCGTGCTACACGGAGTGTGGCGACTTGAACTGCCGGACATTTGTGCAAAGTTCTATGTCGAAAACAGACAGACACTTCGTCTCTAGAAATCAATAATATCAAAGCAGAGATACTTAAGAAATATATGTCAGATAATGTGTAATATTCATCATCTAATGTCACAGAGTATCAGCGACTAAGCTTCGACTTTGAGTAGAAACTGACTAAACACTTTACGTCTACTATTGTGGTGAGAGCTGTCTGCTAACCAAAGTTGGTAGATAGTAATTTACGTCAATGTTTATGTCCTCAATATTGGTTGTGGGAAAAATGAGTACAAAACTTTGCGTAGATGATCCGATATTCAAGAAACAGTCACAAAGAGATGAAAGATTATTTATTTGTGAGAAAAAACCAATCAGTGGACTGTGTTTGTTTACTTAAATAATCTATAATAATGTACATGAAAATATACAAATATGTGTTGATTTCCCTAATAAACGATCTGTTGCTTGACCCTTGACTTGTGTTGTTAAACTACTACTATGAAATGTTTTTCAGTAGTATGTTACTATTTTAAAGATGATTAAGTGTACAGTCTACAAAGGATTGATAAAAGTCTGCTCTCTCTCTCTATCTGTGTTTTGGAATCGAATTCATTACTGCAGAGTAAAGTGCCCCAAACCTTCATTAACCTCCTTCAACAGCTATATGACAATGCTACGTGTCAGGTGATACAAAACGGTAAACTCAGTGGCCGTTTGAAGTGAGCACAGGAGTAAAACAAGGTTTTCTACCACCGCCGGTGATATTTCTGGTTGTGGTGGAGTAGATAATGCGACACACCCGCACGTGGAGAGCGAATAGGCAGGAATTTGTTGGATCGATAAGAATACCTTTGAAGATATTGATTTCACGGGCGATTTATGTCTAATGTCAGAGAAACTCGACGACTTAAAGGCGAAAGCCAACAAACTGTCAGAAGATACAGGCAGCGGAAACAGGATTTCGAGTGAACATTGAGAGGAGAGTGAGGATGGAGATAACCAACCAACCAACCAAACCAGCAACGACACCAAGCACCACTCACTATCACCGGGAGAATTTCAGAAGAGGTCACTTCTTTCGCTTATCTAGCAATGCAGAATCTTTTGACCTACGGGCAAGACAAAAATTCATCACCCTGAAATCAGTTTGGAGATCTTTCGCACAAGACACTGAAAACAAGATTTGAATTTTCATCCATGTGGCTCAGAAATATGCATTGGGCATCACGAGAAGCGTTTCCAGTAGGCTATAGTAGACATTTATCAGCAGATGCCTGCTTCTCTGGTTCCATACTGAAGATGAGATGGCATGCCATAAAGAATTATTAACAAGAAACTCTGGAAGTGAATCAACCAAGAACCTATCAATCAACAAATAGGTAGAAGAAAATGAAGACGGATTGGACACACGCTGAGGAGACTGTCGAGTGACATCTCGTGCCAGGTTATTGCTTGATTGAAACCTGAATGGGAAATGATGAGTTTGTCGAGAAGCAAAGAGTGCTGTGAAGGGGATTGTGTGGCCAGCAAAGGAGGACAACGAAAAATTGGTCAAACTTGAAATGTACTGTTTGAACCCTGAGTTCGGCTCGAAACCCATAGGAACAGTGTTAATGATAACCTCAATACATTGTCAAAATATCTGTTCATAATACTGACATGTCAACAAAAATGGAATATTTCGGTCAGATTTCAACCAATTAATGGGAGATACACAATAACTTCAACAGATAGTCATTTTTAGCAAAGTTCACAAAGGATATTTGTTAAATCACTTAAAGTGTCCCATTCAATAATTACAAAGATATCATGAAAATAGTGCTGCCTAAATTTTACTATTTCACAAATCTGTGAACTTTCTAGATAGTGAAGA